GTGAAGGGAGGGCTAGGAATGGGGAAAAAATAAGAACCAAGATGCATTATGTAAAGGTACAATTCCAAATGAGAAAATAATAATAATAATAATAATAATCTGAAAACTACCAATCCAGCCAGTTTCTCACTAACTTCTCATGTTTCCTTTTCAGATTTAGCATAACAAAGGTGTCTAAGGGTCCAGCCACTTTTAGGAGATGGCAGAGTTTAACAGAAAGAGCACAGAACCTGAGCTAAGTCAGACCTCGCTCCAGCTGCAGCATGGAGCTGGCAGAGTGCATCACTGCTCAGAGCTCTGGCCTCGTGCTGTGGAACGGGCAGGAGCCATGTTTAGGGAAGAACCCAAGGGCACACTTTAGGCTTTCTCCAAATGCCTGTCTCTTCACATCTAGGAAAGAAGCTTGTGCCACAGGCCACATCACCATTCGCAACAGTGTGAGAAACAATACAATTTCACAAAAGATGTGTAAATGTACACTTTGAAAACTATGAAACATTGTTAAAAGAAATTAAACGGAAAGAATCCATGACAAGGGATCAAGATGGCCCAAGGTGACCTACAGATTCAACACAATCCCTGTCAGAAAATCAGATGACTTCAGAGCAACAGACAAGCTGATCCTAAAAGTCCCTTGGATACCCAGGAGACCAATGGGGTCAAAAGAGCCAGAAAAGCCAGGCATGGCAGCACGCACGCCTGTAGTCCCACTCTTGGGAGGCTGAGGCAGGAGGATTGCCATGAGTTATAGGCCAGCCTGCACTACATGGCGAGACCTTGTCTCAAAAAAATGCCTTTTTTTTTTTGGTACCGGAAATCGAACTCAGGACCTTGTATTTGCCAGGCAGGCCCAGTGCCACTGAGGCAAATCCCCAGCCCTTGAATCAAAAAAACAAACAACAACAACAACAACAACAACAACAAAAACCAGCCAGGAAAAAGGAGTGAGCTGGAGAACTTGGGAGGCTATGGTTTGGACACTGGGTGGCCCCAATGGGACTCGTGTGTCAGGCCTGGTCCTGAGCCCGTGCAGGGCCCAGTGGAAGTGAGGCCAGGGAGACCACCTCAGCCTCTCTTGCTTCCCAGCCACCACCATGAGTGAAGCAGCTTCTTCGACCTGGCCGCTCCCTGCCGTGACATGCTGCCTCCCCACGGGGCCCACAAGCCACGGGGCCACAAGTAACTACGAGCTCCCAAACTGTGAGGCCAAAGAAACTTCTTCCTTGTAAGCAGGACACACAGGTACCTTGTTACAGCAAGGCAAAGCTGACTAACAGGGCACCACTACAGACCAGTGGGTAAAAACACCATTCAGTGCTTTGTTGGGACAACTGGCAAGGCAAATAAAAATAATACAATCACACACAAAGAATTCTAGTTAAACAAAATGGAAAAAGAATAAAAAGAGAAAGAATAAGAATCACAAGGTTAAAAAAAGGATTTCTTAAGACAATAAAAGAGGCCAAGTGCAGTGGTGCATGCTTGTAGTCCCAGCTACGTAGGAGGCTGAGACAGGAGGATCCCTTTACAGAAGAATTTGAGGCCTTCCTGGCAACATCAAAGACGGTTTCAAAAAACAAAGTTTAAATAAAAAAAAAAAGACACCAGGGGCCAGGGATTTAGCTCAGTGGTTCCGTCGCCTGCCTCGTAAGTGCAAGGTCCCAAGTTCGATCCCCAGTACCAAAAAAAAGGGCCCGAGAAGGAAGAGTGAGGATACTGTGAGAGGCACATTATGGCTGTAAGAACACATCAGTCTGTGACCCAACCTGGCCCAGTGGGCGGGAGAGGGGAGCCTGTCTGCATCAGAGGAAGAAGACGGGCCCGCCCCACCTCTTGCTCTCCTCAGCCCGCTGCCAGCACTGACTGCTTGAGCATCAGGCAGTCTGAGTCCCACCTCTGGCAGACTGAACTGTCCACACCAGATAATAACTCTGCTTTACAGGAAGTCAGAAGTCGTTTATTCTTTTCTTTTTCTTTTTTGGTACCAGGGATCAAACTCGGGTCCTTGCGCTTATGAGGCAGGTGGTGGAACCACTGAGCTAAATCTCCGGCCCTGAAATTGTTTATTCTGAGCCAAACATGGAGGACCAAGGCCTGGGAACAAGAATTCAAGTTACCCTGGTGCTATGTGGAAGAGGGAACGGCGGAAAATCTCCACTTATAAAGCTGTGGCAGTTATGCTACAACTGTGAACACCCAGGCTGGTTCTCAGGGACCCATCCCAGGGCTTTAATCTTAACCCACCCCGGTAAGAACACGGCTTTGAAGACAACATGGAACTTCCAAGGCAAGGCCTTGGCGTCTTCCAAGGTGCCCGTCTTTGTTCTCTGTTCTGTCACCTCATGGGAGATGTAGTTTTGTTTCTCCACTCTTCTTCTGAAAGCCCCACTAACTCATCTCTTATTTCTGTGTTTTCCTACCAGTGTGAGGGAACACAGGGTTTATTTTATAAACTGATAATCAGCGAACAACTTTCTCAGATATTAACCACTGAGCATTGCTTTTGGTACATACTTAAAACCATAAAACAAGATTTCTATTAACTTATCAATTAAAAATAATAAGCTTGGAATGAGGATTTAGCTCAGTGGTTTCGCTGCCTGCTGCGCAAGCGCAAGGACCCGAGTTCAATCCCCGGTACCAAATATAAATAAACAAACAAATAAATAAATAATAAGCTTGTATGTAAAGTGCCCCAAACTCAGTCTCCAAATACCATTCTCCGATGAAAGAAACTAGCCCTCCTCGGAGAAGTAGTTGATACCAAGCTGGGGCAAGAAAAATATGAGTGTTCTGCAGTAGCAGAAAAATAGCAAAGTACTCAAAAATGATGGAACAATGTCAAGGGGACACAGGAGCCAACTTACAGCATGCCTAATGCCTGCAGCTAGAGTAACTTAAGCAACAAAATAAACAGCACTGCATTTTAGTCCAAGAATAAACACCCCAAGGCGTGGAGGTGTGAGGGTGCACGGTAACCCCAGCACTCCAAAGGCTGAGGCAGGAAGATCATGTAAGTTCAAGGTCAGCCTGGGCTAAGAACAGCCAGAACTACAGTCTCAGGAAAACAAAACAAAAGCAAAGAATGGCCGGGGATTTAGCTCAGGGGTTCCGCCACCTGCCTTGCAAGCAGAAGGACCTGAGTTCCATCAGAATTCTATCCCCCGTACCAAAAAAAAAGCAAAGAACAAACACGCACAAGCTAACACTGATTGAGTAAATAAATCAAGGGCGAAGGGGAGAACTCTTCCTCACAAAATCTTCTAATAGGAAACAGAAGGAAAAGAGGGAAAAGAACACAGCACTCACTGCTGCAGAAGCTGAGCAATGAATGCTAGTTAGGAGGTGAAAGCTGAGGACAAAGAGAGTACTTGAATGCTGAGTCCCACCCTATCTTCTCCTACTTACTTAAGTACCTTGGTAACAAAAGGAGAGAGAGTAACTTTAAGGTGAGAAATAAGACACATTAACTTCACTCTCAGTCAAAGCCCAAGAAAACAACACACAGAATCAAGTGAGATATTCTAATATTACAGATAACAAAATTCTTTCAAACTGTCAAGGTTCTGAGGGCACAGAAAGACTGACTTGTCACAGACTGAAGATGATCAAGGAAACGCAACAAATGTAACAAAGGCATTGGAATGGGTCCTAGACAGAAAAAGGACATCAGAGAAAAACTGATAAACTTTGAACAAACTAAAGTTTAATTAACAGTATTGTACCAATATAAATTTAATTTTTTAATGTAAATTTAATTTTGATGAGTATATTATGATCATGTAGGATACTATCTATAAGCAAACTAGGTCAAAGGTACAAGAGAACTCTACATAATTTTTTGAAGCTTTGGTAAGTCCATAATTATTCATGATACAACTATTTTAAAAGAAAAAAGGCTGGGGCCAGGGTTTAGCTCAGTGGTGCCATGCCTGCCTCGAAAGCACAAGATCCTGAATTTGACCCCCAGTGCCAAAAAAAAAAAAAATTTAAAGAAATAGAGCCAGGTGTAATGGTGCACACACCTGTAATTCCAGTACTTGGGAGGCAGAGGCAGCCTGGGCAACTTAGTGAAACCCTTTCTCAAAAAAAAAAGTAAATAAAAGAGTTTGATCATCATTAATATTTTTGTGACTTATTTTCATTTGGGGTGTTAAGGACTAACTTGGCAATAAGGTCTAATAAAGGGCTATTAAGTACCATCAATTTTTCTTCTCCCAGTTTGGATTCCCGGTGTCATTAGGCTAACACTGAGTACCTACTATGTACCTCTCACAGGAGCAGACACACAGCACTGCCTTCAGGAGTCCAGGGTGAGACAGATACTACATACAGTACATGGTAGATGACATAGTGACAGACATCTTGAAAACAGCTTTATATAATAAAGTAAAACAAGGAATTTCTTGTAGAAAGCATAACAATTTACCTGACAAGTCATAGGAAAGCTCACAAGACCTCTATCAGCTTATTTTTAGTAGTGTGCCACCACATCTTGCCAGCATGTTTCTTTTAAAGTGAGGTTTATCCTAAACTGTTCCCATCTTTTCGACATACAGTAAGAAGGGGTTTATTATATTTTTTCAGCCAA